TTGGGGACACTGGGAGCCGGCCATGCCATTGAGCCCACTGTGTCACTGTGTCTGCGCCTCAGTCACCTGTTAGCAGAGAGAACACAGACACCCCACCCCAGGTTGTTGTGGGTGGCACAGGGCGTGTCTGTGCGTGAGGTGGCACACAACAGTGGCTGGCGATGACAAGCATTAGTGCTCACAGCCGTCTTTCTGGGGGCGTCCTCCTCAGGAGCCAGTAGATCTCAGTGGGCAGTAGGTCTCAGGATCTGGCCACTGCTTGCCCCCTACACGGCAGCTCTGGGCACCTAGAGAGCCAGCTTTCACCAAAGGGAATTTTTGGGAACTATTTGAAATACATGGAGAAACCAAAGTGAAGCCAAGCCACCAAGCTGGGAGCAGAGCCCCTGCCTGGTGCCTCACACTTTCCAAGGGTCCCGCTGGAGGACCCCAGGCTGGCGGCCACTGAGGGCCACAGTTATTTTGGAGAGTTTCCTACAAAAGTGCACGACTTACATGCTTCTCGGTGTCACACACAGGGCCCTCTGGACTCTGGTCTCTGGGTGCTGTTTGCAATCAAGGAGGGCAGCCCTGTGTGGCGGGTCACCTCGGATCACCTCGGCCTCTCTGACAATCGTGTTAGCCCTGACCACTCCGGAGCGTTCCCTCTGCACAAGGCTGCTGTGGTTTTATAAACAGGACTACATTGTGTTGGCTGGAGGGATCCGTGACCTTCAGGTGCTCACGGGTGAAGGACACAGCAGCCCCACCGCCTCAAGGGCACTCACAGGACAGCCTTGAGCCAGGGCACCTTGTCAGTCCTTGTTGGGAGAATCGGCTCCCAGGCCCTGGGGTGAGCCTCTGGCTCCTGGGTGGGTCCCAAAGCTCCCTCTGGCTTCCACCTTTAGGCCTGGTTTCCACGGGGTCATCCATCTACCCCGGGTTCCCAGACCCTCTGACCTGGTGCAGGCTCTGGGGGATAGGCAGGTCAGCGGCAGGACAGAGGGTCCACAGGGCATGCTCCTGACCTGGAGCGGAGGTCATGCACTGGGGAGGTCCGTGGCACTGAGCGTGGTGTTAGAGGAGGTCCTGAGGTGGGCATGGCGCACGCTGTGCTGGGGAGAAGCGCTTTGTCCTCCAGTTCTGCTGGGCGATGGCTGTGGCTGCCTCTAGGTGACCAGCCTCCCTTCCCGACCAGCGCTTCAGGTTCATCCGCCTTTATTCTGTCACCGTTGTAGGTAGAATGGACGGATGGCAAGTTCCATCCCAGGCAGTTCTGCAGGTCTCCTGGTCTGACACGGCTCCTCTGGTGCCAGCTGCCCAGGACTCACTTCAGGTCACTCCCAAAGGCACTAGATGATGGACACACAGACTTCGCCCACTCGTGAGGCCTGTCCCTCGGGTCAGAGGGCATCTTTGCAGAAAACGGACCCTTGACAGGGAAGCCACGGGGTGCATTTGCTGTGGGGCAGGAAGAGCACAGCTCAGGAGTGACCCCTGCGCCCCGGAGCCCTTGGTCTTCCATGAACCCCCTGGAGAGTGTCCAGCATGAGGTGCCATCTGGCAGGACGCGTGTGCCTTTACCCAGGTCCTGGGGGTCCTCTCCCATCACATCCAGGTCCTGGGGGTCCTCTCCCATCACACCCAGGTGACGGGGTCCTCCCCCATCACACCAGGTGACAGGGGTCCTCCCCCAGTCCCACCCAGGTGACAGGGGTCCTCCCCCAGTCCCACCCAGGAGCTGAGGGTCCTCCCCCATCACACCCAGGTG